CAGTCATCTCTGACTTCCTCAAACTTGCTACCCCTACAACGCCCCCAGCCCCCAGCCCTCCCTCTTCACCTCTGATGTAGCCCTGCAACTGCTCAAGCCAGCGTTCTTGTCTCTGTCCCCACATCCGGCCCATTAGCAAAATATGCCCCCTCTACCTAGGAATTTTATTTTATTTTATTTTTTTAATAGAGACGGGGTCTCACTCTTGCTCAGGTTAGTCTCGAACTCCTGAACTCAAGCGATCCTCCCACCTCGGCCTCCCAGAGTGCTAGGATTACAGGCCTGAACCACCACGCCCGGCCTCTACCTAGAAATTAAATCCAGAATCCTCTACTGACTCCCCCCACGTTGGTCTGATTCACTCTCATCTCCCTGCGCTCCCTATTTCCCCCCTCGCCCCCTACAGTCTGCTCCCCAGGCAGCCGCCAGGAGGCACTTGTGAACACCTAAATCAGTTCAAGTCTCTCCGCTGCTTAGAGACCTTGGCTGACTTAAAAGTCCAAGTTCTCACGATGACCATAAGGCCCTGCACGCCACGGCCGCCTCTCCTCTCATTCCATCCAGCTCACAGTGCTCCAGCCCCATTGGCCTCCTCAAACACATCCGGCCAGCACCTGCCAGGGAAGCCCTGGTTACATCCCAAGAGCCTGGCATGCGTCCTTTCACTGCATCCCACAGCCACCCAGGAGGCAGGTGAGATGGTGCCTGTTGGACGAGAGGGAAAGCGGTGCTCAGGGACATGGGGACAGTAGCCAAGCCACACAGTCAGCATGCTGGCCCCCAACCCAGGCCTGAGATCAGCAATGGAGATAAAGTAGTGAGTAAAAAGAAGAGAAGATTCCTTGGTCTTCTAAAGCTGATACGTTAGAGTCAGGAGAAGCCATCAAACAAAAACAAATAAGAAAATAAGTAAAACAAGTCAATGCTACCATCTGTTAGAAGGCGCAGAGTGCTACAGAAGCGAAAGTAAAGCAGGGCAGTGGGTGGGAGGTGTGGAGGTGGCTGCGATTGTAAAGGGGGACGAGGGAAGGCCTCACGGAGGAGGATACCAGAGCAGAAGGAGCAGAGGAAGCGAAGCAGGGGGTCCCCGGGGAAGGGCATCCAGGCAGGCATCACTGGAGGGGCAGGCAGTAAGCATATAATCACCCAAACGCGCGCCACGGTGCGCCAGGCAGTGCACCAAGGACCCACCAGGATGATCCCATTTTAATCCTCACGACAACCCTTTGAGGTAGTGCTACCACTGTCCCCTACAGAAAAGGAAACTTAGGCCCGGGGAGGGGTAATCACTCATCTCACCAACTGTTAGTGTATACCAGTTAGTGTATACCAGCGGTAATCACTCAGCGACAAGGTTCACAATTGTTAGTGTGTACCAGTGGTTTAAGCCAGGCATGGCGTCTGCACTCATCACTGCAGTGCCTGGTGTACAGTAGGTGCTCAACACAGCACGAATGGACAGTAGAGCTGGGAGAACACCTGAGGTCTGAAAGGAAACCTAAGAAGTCCCCCGGCCCCCATCCATCACATCACGGTTGGGTAAAGTGAGGCCCGGAGAGGCTTCTGAGGCTCACCCAGCCCCCGTGGGCCTGGATCCAAGGCGCGAAGCTGTGCACGTGCTCCACACTGAGTCCGGCCAGGGTGCCCCCCAGACCAGCCACTCGCCGGCTCAGCTCCATGGCCAGGGCCAGGCGGGCCAGGGGCTCTGGGGAAGGTGGTGGTGGCCCAGGGCATGCGCGACTTGGGTGAGAGTTGCCCTGGCGGCTGGAAAACAGCTCCACTAGGCGGGCGAAAGAGCCAGTGGACAGGCGGACCAGTTTGCTGCGCAGGGCGGGGTCGGAGGCCAGCTGTGGGGCGGTGAGAGGAAGAGGCAAGGTCCGTGTCAGCCAATCGGTGACTGGGAGGCGTGGCTTCCCCATTCAAGCCAACTCTAAATACTAAACCTCTAAGCCACACCCCCTCCATCACATCAGCCAATCACAAGCCAGACTCTATGGTCTCTGCCAAACTACTCCTAGGATGGTGGCCTAGAACCTAAGCCTCTAAGCCACGCCCCTGCCGTGGCCTCAACAGCCAATCAGAGCCAAGCTCTAGTCCCCACTGGGTTTCCCCAGTCAGAGACCCTGGGGCAAGGATAGAGTCTACAACAACCTTGCCCTCTACCATACAACTAATATTATAGAACCATGTACTTTGCCCAAATTCCCAAACCAACCGGGTTCCAGGACAAGGTCATGAGCCATGCTTCCTCTGGCGGTCCATTTTCCCCACATTCTAAGCTTTGCCCCTACGGTGATCAATGAGATTTTAGACACTCTCCCACCCCCACATTCATTCCCTTACTTCCCCAATTTGGCCCAATCTCTCCCAGATCATATTTTTGATGGCCACGTCCCCTGCATTTAGGCCCCGCCCCCTAACAATCAATGAAAGCCACCAATATAAAGTACAGTACTACCCTGACCATACCTCTGTCACTCAACCCTTCACTGAAGCCTTGTCCCACCCTCTCCACCCCTGACCATCCAAAGAAAATGCAGATCCAGCTTGTGATCTCAGTGGCCCACCGTCCTAAAACTCCTAAACTCGATAAGGGCTAGAACAGATGCCCATCACCTTCTGGTTGATGACTTCCGCCTCCTCCTCCAGCAAAGCCACCAGCCTCCGAAGCAGGGCTTCCTTCTCCGTGGGAGGGGGACCCTGTAACTCTGGAAGCAGAAGAGAATTTGGCTGGAGCCAGAACCCTGACTACCCTCTTACCCCCATCCTTCTCCAGGGCTCTTCTGCACCTCACCAGGGCTTGGTGGAGATCTCAGTTGCTCTTGGACCAGCTGTTCCAGCCGCTGGGCCACCAGGGCATAGAAGTCTGGAGTAGCTGGGCCTGGGGTGAAAAGAGTTAATGATGGGTCTCCAAGACATCAGGAACTTATGGATTCTCTCCATCTCCCAACTACCTTGCCATGCAGCAATGATTTCTAAGCAAACAAACTTGGTACAAAAAAAAAAAAAAGCCAAAACCCTTGTACTTTCCCCTTTATCATATCCCCAAATTGGACTTAGACTGTTAGAGTCAAACTGGATCTTGAGAGATTATCTCATCCAAGGAAGGCAAGCACAAGGTATTCCTGCTATTAGCACCCTATCCCTTGGCCATTGCAGGCATCACCAATTGATCACAGCACTCCTCTCCTCAGTTGTGAACTGCTTTTCAAGCTAGCAGTCCCAGCAGCCATTACTAGTCTATTCAGGTTCACATATGAGAGGAAAACTGTTGGCCACTCTTGATCAAGTCCAATGCCCTCCCCACCAATTCCTACTCTGCTACTGAAAAACAGGGGAGCAGGGAAGAGAAAGGATTTTTCCCAGAGTCATACAACCAAAACAGTCAGGGAGTTGTGATTGAAAACTAGGTCTCCTGCCTTTCTATTAGGGGTACTCATGGCTACAAAAGTCCTAGGGGCAGGAAAGCATGTATGGAAGGGGAGGAATAACAACTAGATATAAAGGGATCAAATGCCTTGCGAAAGGCAACCCGCAGAATTGACACATAGAAATCTAACTTGGGGATAGCAGAGGGGACAGAACAGGATGGTGAGGGTTGGTGCTGAAGACTCCACACAGCTACCTCCTAGCTGATCTTAAACTAGCACCTTATCCTATGCCCTGCCAGTTTCACCAGCGATCTAAGGAAACCTCTTACCAGGCTCTGAACCATAGCAGGGGCGGAGGGGCAGGGAGCAAGGCCGAGGGGACTCAGGGGGAACTGCTCCTCGCCCCAGGGGGCAGGGAAGACATCTTCGAAGGCGACTCAGGAAGTCTGTTGGCTCCTCCTGGGCAGGGCTCCTGGGGAGGAGGACCTCAGATAGTGACCCCAGAGACCCCCTGTAAGCAGTTCCTGCCCCACCCCCACCTCGCTGAGAACCTCTCTCTGCAATCCCAGGGACAGAGAATAGAGCCAGATATAAAGAGAGGAGACAGGTTGAGACCAGGAGTAAGAAAGAGTTAGAGAGGGCCCCACACTAAACGCAGGCCCACGGGGGAGAAAGGCAACTCCTCTTACCTCGGTGGGGTTGGAACGGGGGACCCGGCAGCCTCACCCCGCCTAAGAAAAGCAGCTAGGACCCTCAGCGTGTCATCTCGGAGCCCCAGCTCTTCCGAGCCTGCCATGGAGGCACCTGTGAGAGAGGAGGCTAGGGGCTGGACTCTAGGGTTCAGCAGGAAGTGGAGGATTGGAGGCCAGGACTTGTGAATCCCAAGAAAGGAAGGTGCCGAGGGCCCGGACTCCTGGGTCCTTTGGAGAGCTGGGGTCTGGGGGCCCAGACTCTTGAGTCCCCAGAGAGAAAAGAGATGAGAAATAAGAATCCTTGATCCTGGCAAAAGAGGGAGATGGGGGCTCGGATTCGTGGGTCTAAAGGAGGATGGGGCTGGGGTCCTGGACTCCTTAGTCTGAGAGAGAAGAGGACTAGAGCCCCAGACTCTTGGGTCCCCGAAGGAGAAGGGGTCTTGGGGCCCCGACTCCTGGATTGTGAAGGAGGCATATGCCAAACTTCTGAAGCTCTTAGAGCATGGGGAACTACTAATCCCAGCAAACTTCACGGCAAATATTCCCCTTCGTCAGTGCTCGTTCGCCGCGCAGGCTGCTGGGAGGTGTAGTTCCAACTATCTGACTCAGGCTGGAATCTTGGGGACCCTGGACGCTTGGATGTCGGAGAAGCGGGACTGGGGTGCCCGATCCTGGTTGCTGGACCCCTCCTCTTGCCTCCTCTTCCCAGCCTTCGCCAACACTCTGCTCACCTGACCTGGGACCCCGCCGCCACCGCCTCGTCCAGCCGTACAAACTTTTCTTTAGTAGTTCAACTTTCCCGCGCCTGCGCACTGGGCCGGTTTGGTAACCGCCCCAACGTAGGAGGGGCGGGGCGCTGGATGCACGCTTAATTTGCATATAACGTTCCCAGCATGCCTGTGCCCGGAAAGCCGAAGAAGGGCGTAAGGAGGGGGCTGGTCCAGACTCAGCGGGCCGCCCCTTTGGGGCAGGAGTCTGTCACCCAAAGAATGATAAAGTTGCTTGTATTTCAAGAAATCGATCAAAAAGAAAGCCCCAGCGCTCTAAACCTCAGCCGTCGGGAAGGGGGGTGCACAGCTTCGAGTTTGAGAGCTACCCGGATCCCAAAGACAGGGTCGGGCCCCAGCACCCTGCGTGCCCTGCCGTGCGTCGTAGGTAACGCAGAAGAGCCGGGGAAGTAGTTGGTGGCGTTCGGAAGTGAGGAACGGGAGAAAGGCTGGTTCTGCGCTGCTAGCGGAAAGGGAAGCAGGCGGGAGCTACAATGGCCGGCCCTGGAGTTGGTTATAGAAAAACGGTAGAAAAAGTAGGGAGGGAGGAGGAAGAGAGGAAGCGTCTACACTGAGGGGATCTAGGAGAGGGAAGGGTGGACTCTGTAAATGGGAGGCAGTTCACTCTAAAAAGCCAGGGAGGAGGGAGCCCTGGAGGAGGGAGCCCTGGAGGAGGGAGGCTGTCTGATGGGAGGGAATTGTGGATAGAGGTTCTACGCTGGAAATGGGTAGGGGCATCTTCGGTGGGGGAACTGTGGAAGGGGGTCTACACTTGGGTGAGTGCAGGAGGTAGGGGTTTACGCGTGAGTAGCATCTGCACTGAAATAACTAGGGAGACAGGGCTCTACCCTGAAAGCGGGGCTACCTGTTTTCATTGATGTGGGGGAGGGATTGACGGTTGGCACTGAAAGACGCTGGGCGACGTTCTACAGTGGTTATGGGAGGGAGTCCTCGCTGATTAGGAAGCCTCTCTGGACGATGGGAGGATGGGAAGAGGAGCTTTCCTGTTTGTATCCCAGGAAAATATGGGTGAAAGTCCTGCGCCGTGGCCCGTTACGGAGAGGTCTGGGTATGGAAACCCCAGGCCAAGAGGGCCTGAGAGGCTGCCTGCGCCCAGGAACTGCCCTGTGCGCGCAGGTGGGACGATGGGAACCCAAAAGCCACGGATCCTGCCCTGGCTGGTGTCGCAGCTGGACCTAGGGCAGCTGGAGGGCGTGGGCTGGGTGGACGACAGCCGCACGCGCTTCCGCATTCCTTGGAAGCACGGCCTGCGGCAGGATGCTCAGCAGGAGGATTTCGGCATCTTCCAGGTGGGTACGCCCCGGAGCGCGGGAAACTGAGAGCAGCGCCCTGGGCCGGAAGGACTCCGGGGTGGGGGGGGCGAGAAGGCGGGGTTAGCACGCGTGCGCGGGGCGGGCTCGTGCTAATGCTGATGGGTAGAGTCAGAACGTGTGGGACAGGGCTAGCATGATTGGTGGACTGACGGTGGGGCGCAGGTAGGGTTGGAACAGCCTGGTTCCGGGAATAGAACCGAAATGTGGTGTTAGAACGCCAAGGAAATGCATCCTCGGGGTGGGGAGCTCTCTGAGGGCCGGGCTCTTGGTTGTAGGATTCTGGGGGTGGCTGTTGGAACATTAGAGGCGAAACTCAGGAGCCCCACATCTGGGCTTACTAACTACCAAATTAGAATACACTAGTGGTGGTAAACAGTGTAAGGGGGTGAGGTTATCACGGAGGGTGTCCTGGGGCGGGTGGTGACAGAGCTAGATGCCAAGTAGGACTTGGAAGGCTGGCTCAGAAAAGGTATTTGGAAAGTGAAGGTGAGGGATGATGGAGGGTATGGAGCTTGGGGCGCAGGGAATTGGGAGCTGGAGCCTTGCGGAGTTAGAACTTGCCAGGGGGAGAGGGTGGTGTTAGGACCAGAGGAGGCAGGGTTAGGCCCTCAGGGATGGGGTCTAAGTCATCTTCCCCCGTTATCCTGACACCACTGTTGCCCCAGGCCTGGGCTGAGGCCAGTGGTGCCTATACTCCCGGGAAGGATAAGCCCGACTTGCCAACCTGGAAGAGGAATTTCCGGTCCGCCCTGAACCGGAAGGAAGTGGTGCGTGTAGCAGAAGACCGGAGCAAGGACCCTCACGACCCGCATAAAATCTATGAGTTTGTGACTTCAGGTGTGCCAGAGCGGGGCTTCGCCTGCAGCGATGGGATCTTCAGGGTTTTTAGCACCCTTACTCTGCTCACCACCTTTCTTGGCAGGAGTTGGGGACTTTTCCCAGCCGGACACCTCTCCAGATACCAGTGGTGGAGGCAGTACCTCTGATACCCAGGTGAGAATGCACCCAACCCTCTGCCCCGTCCCCGTGGGCCTGTTCAGGCCGCCGCCTCTCCCCTGCAACCATCACCCAGCCTCCTCCTTGGCCTCCAGTCTGTCCTCTGCCTGACCCAGACCTGACCTTGTCTCTCCCCTGTTCCCAGCTCATGGCTCCCAGCCTTTAAGGAAGAAAATTCAGAGTTTCACTGGGCATTCAAGACCTTAACACCCCTTTCAGGATTTCATAGATTTCCTCAATTTGCAGGTGCCCTCAGCCCCTTGGAAACTGAAAACCTCCCTCATCTTGATCTTGCTGATGTCTGTGCCAGGGAAATGTCCCCTCTGAAATCTTGCCCAGCCTGCCCTGCCCAGGTCTTGCTTGCATGGAGCCAGATGCTCGGGATGAGTTAGCTACTGCCGCTGCCATCGCAGCACCCGGCATCCGTTAGACCATGTATTTTGCTGTCGGTGCCCGTGGCCGTCTCTCCCCTGAGACTGGAAGCTCCTTGAGGGCAGAGCTCAGGTCTGACGCCTCTCTGTGCCTCCTCATCGCTGAACACAAGGCCTGGTCCATACGAAGTCTCTAGAAAAGGCTGTCGAAATGCCCAGCTTGTTTTTTCTTTTTTTTTTTCTCTCCAGGAAGACATTCTGGAGGAGTTACTAGACAACATGGTCTTGGCCCCACTCCCAGACAGGCAGCCCTCAGGCCTCGCTGTGGCCCCTGAGCCCCACCCTCAGCTGTTGCTGAGCCCCAGCTTGGACAGTCCCGCTCCCCACCCAAACCCGGAGCTCCCTGAAAACCCACTGAGGCGGCTGCTGGTGCCGGAGGAAGGTGAGCGTCAGCTGTGGGCTGGGAGGGGCTGAGGCTGGGCCAGTAGCCCCTCACCTTCTTTCTCTCCATCTCTCTCCCCCTTCACACCACTGCTGCTGTTCAGAGTGGGAGTTCGAGGTGACAGCCTTCTACCGGGGCCGCCAAGTCTTCCAGCAGACCATCTCGTGCCCAGGGGGCCTGCGGCTGGTGGGGTCTGAAGCAGTAGACAGGATGCTCCCTGGGCAGCCAATAACACTGCCAGACCCTGGGCTGTCCCTGACAGACAGGGGAGTGACCGGCTACGTGAGGCGTGTGCTGAGCTGCCTGGGGGCGGGCCTGGCTCTACGGCGGGCCGGGCAGCGGCTCTGGGCCCAGCGACTGGGGCACTGCCACACGTACTGGGCCGTGGGCGAGGAGCTGCTCCCCA